CTCGTCTGCCACCAGCTTGGCCACCTTGTGCTGCACCTCCCACGGCTTGGCGATGGCCGACACGTCGCACGCCGTCATCATCATACCGCACAGCACTGGCAGATATCACATTAAAAATATAAAAAAAAACAATTAAAATAAATGGTATCATTGTTTGTAGCTTTCGCCCGCGACTCTGTTCGCGTTAAAGAAACCAAAAGTGTGTGCTTATGTGTTCTTCCAGACATTGTTATACATCTACGATAAATTTCAGCGATATCCTCTCAGCAGTTTGGGCCGCTTACTTTAAGCTATTCGTCTTTTATCTATATATATTTTTGTTATAAGGCTTGCTTCAGTAACATTTTCCATTTCATATTATATCTAAACAGGTCATCTAATTCACTAAACAGACGTTTCATACAAATTTTTTAATTATTTTACACAGACGTTTAAGAAATATACAGACTAGACAGTGCACATTTTATCATCGGTAACTTCTTTGAAAGGTACTATGTCAGTTGTAATGTTTAGTGCCACCTCTTGTCCTTGTAAATAGAATGTTGTTTTACAAAATTATAATAAGCTCCATCTTTTGTTATAAAAATAAACTAAACAATATCACAAAACTATTATTTAGTGACACCTACTGTCAATTGATTTAAATACATTTAATTATATTAACATGCGTTTTTGAGGAAAAATAGTGTTAGTGAGGGTTATGTGAAAAATGTTTCAAGTGAAGTGTTACCTATGCTTCCTCTATATGTTTTTAAATCTCTGTTATTTTTAAAGTAAACTTACGCTCCTTCTTCTCGGGGCTCTGCCAGTCGAACTCGCCGTTGTCGACGAGCTCTAGGAACTTGGACTTCTTCTTGAAGTACATGGCGAGGTCCGTGGAGAGGATGGCGGTCTCCACGGCGCGCATCACCGCCTTGTAGTCGCACGGAGACAGCGCCTGCAGACAAATATACCGACTACTAACATCAAGGTGTTTTTATTTACTGTTATTTTGACAGCGCGGAATTAAAAAAAAGTAGCCTATATGCCCGTCTATGTCAGCTACCCTTCAGTGAAAGTGCGGTCGATATCGGTCCAGCCGTTGCGGAGATTACCCGGAACAAACGTGGCTTGAGAACAGACAAAAAAATTTTTAAATGCGATTTTCGTTATCAGCAATCATCTTCTCGAAATTTGGAATTTTACCTTTGATATTACAAACAGATACTCCAATTTTATTATATGTATATATACAGATAAAAATTATAGAAGATATTACAGTGTTAGCGGTAAACACTTAAAAGATAAAAAAAAGATTGCTAGAAAAAGATTTATTTTTAAATGACATCTAAGATTTTTAATACAAATAAGGTTACTTACATACTAACTAATTTGTGTAATGCCTTGTACACACGCTCAGTTTTATCTGAACAGTAATTTAAAAGTTGTATAGACATAATTTAGCATCGAACAATTCTCAAGTAATTTTCTTATATCCGAAAGATCGAAGTGTTCAGGTAAAACGTGGGTAGCGGCTTAAGTTAGATGGATGTTACTAAGCATCTCCTAAATGCTTTAACGAATCATAATCAAATTCATAGATGTAAAAGTCTGGATGAACACAAAACACAACTTGTTTTATTTAATTCATCGCGGACAAAAGCTTATCGATACTAATATTAAAGAAGAGAAAAGATTTGTATTTTTGTATGTATTGAAATAACTCAAAAATTACTGGTACTATTTTAAAAATTCTCTATCAGTGAGTAACATAGGATATGTTTTTTAATTTAATTCGGGCGAAGTCGTGTACAATAAACTTCTATACTATTATAATAAAGCGTAAACACACACTTCTTTGTTGCCTAAGATCTCAGCTATTACAGCATATTTTTGCATAATTCTATTTTTAATAAAAAGCTTTACACTTAGGTCATGCTTTAGGCTATATATTTTCACGTCATTAAACTCAGGGGGTGAATATTTCGTATGAAAACCCTAATGTGGGGAAGAGACAATAAGTTGCTGCCAACATTAAGAAAGAAAGATTGCTAAGGTTTGTCATGTCATGTCATGTCATTTTGACATTTGCTATCAATAGCTTTTGTTGTTTACTTTTGTCAAATGTAAACAACAAAATAAAATATTCATAATTTCATGCGGATGAAGCCGCACGGGAATAGCTAGTATATAGATATACACATACCTGAAAGATATTATTACTCTCGCTGTTCAATATCATGACACACTGATCGAAGTGGTGGTGTTCCATAGTAGACGTGGAGTATAGTATCGCGAGGGGACTTTCAGTCTTGGTCTGGAAGGCGTTGTTAGTCCCCCTGTGGTCCAGGTCGTGGCAGAGGCAGGCCACCAGCAGGCCGAGGATCTCAAGGTCCGACATGAACCTCTCCATCTTCCCGGTCTTCAGCATCGCGAACATCGTCTGGGCTACGTTCAGCGCGTGTCGCCAGTTGTGGTACTTCACTGGACGATAGTTCTTCTTAACGCTTAGTATCCATCTGCATAATACCTAAGA